CACAAAAACAATATGCTAGACGCCTTATGTCTATCTTTGTTGTCCCAATCAGCCATTTTTTCATTTCAATAATAATGTTAACTAATTCAGTTTCTTAAACTTTGCTAAGTGTTCTTGGTCGTCCAAAAACTTTGTTTAAATCAACATTATTTTTAACTTTATCTATATAACGTCTCAATATCTATCTTGGTATACCTAATAATTTTGACGCATTCTTTTGACTACTTCCATATTTTATTACATCATCAACTGCTTTTCTCAAACTTTCAAAACATCATTCAGCTCTTTGATTTTTTATTTTACTATCTCTTGAGATCTAAGAGAAAGCAATAAATGATAATAATAATAATAATAATCATAATAATAAAATATATGTACACACACACACATACACACACACACACACACACACACACATACACACACACACACACACACACACACACGCACACGCACACGCACACGCAGACACACACAGATGCAGTTGATGATGTATTAAAATATGGAAGTAGTCAAAAGAATGCGTCAAAATTATTATCACCAATTAATTTTGAAAATAAATAACCCATCCAATTTTTTAATAAAATAACCAAGAGTGTGTTAAGAATTCGGACATAAAGGCGACAATTTATCAATTTCATGCTAAAACAAAGAATTATATAAGCATGTTCAAATTATCTGGAAATAGTAAGTTTTAATACAATGAGCATAAAATCTTCAAATCATATTGATCTATTTGATAGTTCAACACATGCTTAACTCCTCTTGACACGATGCATGGGTTTCGCTTGTGTCTCTATTTTTATGACTAGGCAATTCATTCTATTATCTCCAAATGAAGGTACAGCTCTAAAACTCAGTTTTATGTTTCTGAGGCCGGATGGTATTCAGGTTTCCCAAACTCTGTGGTAGCTCTCAGAGAGGCTGATTCCAAAAATAGCTGAAAAATATCAGAGTACTAACAGTGTCATGATGCGCATGAATGGTGTCCCTGTTTGTACTTTTGGTGTGCATTGCCAAGGTCACATTGGAGCCTTTTGTACGGTTTAGGGTTTATTAGTGGAAATGAGGCAATTGCTTGGGCTATAAAACAGTGTACTGAGTACTATCTATGTTTTAAGTCAAGTTTTTTAACAAGTTTAAAAATGAATAAAGTAGCAAAAACTATAAAACAAAAAAACCACAGTCATCACCAAGTTCGCTAAATCATTCACCAATATTCGTGGTCTTCGAAGTAACTTTTCTTCTATTGAGTTTTATCTCTTGCAAAGTCCACCAGACCTACTTGCTCTTTGTGAGACTAATTTGAGTTCAGCTGTCTCATCTTGTGATCTTAGTGTTGATGGTTATCTTCCTTTAATTCGTAAAGACTCCAATAGTCACATGCTTGGCCTGGGCATTTACATTCGTAAGAGTTCACCCATTTGTCGGGAAACTAGGTTTGAACCCACAGACTACTCTTTTATGTGCTTTCGTTTAGCACTACTTCACTCTGTCACCTTTCTCTTTGTTCTATATTGCTCTCCCTCATCTCAAGACTGCACTCTTCTTGATGTTATTTCTGACTATATTGACCAAGCCCTCATTCTTTATCCATCAGCCAATATTGTTGTTGTCGGTGACTTTAATGTTCATCTTACTGAATGGCTCGGCTCTAGTGTCAGTCACTTTGCAGGCATTAAGGCTCACAACTTTTGTCTTTCTCAATCCCTAACTCAAATAGTCAACTTTCCAACTCGCTTTCCAGACAACACAAATCATTTATCTTCTCTACTCGACTTATGTTTTGTTTCTGATCCTATTCAGTGCTCAGTTTCTTTACACTCACCCAGAGGTGCTTCTATCATGGTTTGGACTCTCTAAAAACTATTATCTCATTCTTCTTTACCATCAGAATCCCCTTATAATCGTACATTTCACAACTACCTTAAAGCTGACTGGGACTCTTTCTGTGATTTTCTTCGTGATGGCCCATGGGTAGAAATCTTTCGTCTCCCTGTTGACAAATGTGCTTCTTACATAACTTCGTGGATTCAGGCTGGCATGGAATCCTTTATTCCCACTCGACGATGATAGGTCAAGCCTCACTCTTCTCCATGGTTTTCCTCACATTGTGCTGCTGCAATTGCCAATCGAAACCATTACTTCCATATCTATCAGCAAAACAATCCAGAAAACAGACGTTTGTTTATTACTGCTAGGAACCATTGTAAAAAGGTTATGTCTAACGCCAACGCCCGCTATTCTCAGATTATGAAATCTCGTATTTCATCACAAAAATTAGGCTCTCGTGACTTCTGGCGAATCTTTAATTGTATCTATAATAAGAGCAAGGCTATAATTCCGTCTCTTTTGTATGGTTCAGACTTTGTCACTTCACCTAAAGACAAGGCTGATTTGTTTGCCAAAAATTTTTCATCATTATTATTTCTTGATTCCACTAGTAGTTGCGTTATACCTGATATAGCCGTCAAACAGTTTGATCAATTGCTCAACATCCGTATCACTCCAGCTTCTGTATCTAAAGTAATTTTTTGCTTAGACTCTTTTACAGCTTGCGGCCCGGACAACATACCCGTTATAGTCTTGCAGAAGTGTTCTCTGGAGATATTGTCTGTCCTTTCAAAACTATTTTACAAGTGCTTATCAGAAACTTGTTTTCTAGCCTGCTGGAAAGCAGCATCTGTAATCCCTATTTTTAAAAATTCTGGAGAGTGATCCCATTCGTCTAACTACTGTCCCATTAGTCTTCTTCCTATCATATGCAAGGTCTTTGAATCTTTAAACACTTAATCTCTCATCTCGAATCTCATAACCTACTTTCTGATCATCAATATGGATTTCAATCGTCTCGTTCTACAGCTAAATTGGTATCAGTAATAACCGTTAGGTTTTATCGCGCATTAGATTAAGTTAAAGAGGTTAAGGTCATCTTGACATTTCTTAAGCGTTTGAAATAGTTTGGCATACTGGTCTTCTCCAAAAGCTTTCTTCTTACAGTGTATCTGGAAACATCTTTAAGATTATTTAATCCTTCCTTTCCAATCGTAATATAAAAGTTGTCCATGATTGACAGCACTCTTTTTCTTATTCTTTTACCTCAGGGATTCCTTAAGGATCAATCCTTGGCCCTATACTCTTTTTAATTTACATTAACGATCTTCCAGATATTCTCACATCTAACGTGGCATTGTTCGCTGATGATACTACCATATACTTTTGCCACGATAAAAAGCCAACTCCCTCTGATTGATTGCAGGGGGCATCAGGAGCTTGGAAAGGTCACTTCTGCTACTGCATTGGGCTCACAGTGGCTGGTGAACTTTAATTCAGATAAAACTCAATTTTTTTTCAGCCAATTGTTATTGCAATAATTTAAACCTTCCTATGTTTTTGAACAATAATGTACTCGATGAGTCTCCTACCCTTCATCTTCTAAGATTAACTCTTACTTCTGATCTTTCTTGAAAACTTTATATCGAATCCATTGCAAAATTAGCATCTGCTAAAATTGCTTCTCTTTATGACACTTTCTTACTCTGAATTCTATTCTATATTCCTATATATCTCAAATCCGGTCTTGTATGGAATACTATTGCCATATCTTTATATATATATACATTATATTTCTTAAATATACATTCCAAGATCTTTTTGTATTTCCATAGGTTTTGTCAAAAAGCTTTGCATAATAAAACAATTTTTAGATGGCACTTCGTTTTTATAAGTTTTTTTTTAGTATTTATCATATAGTTTATATTTTCCTTTTAAAGAATCAATATACCCATCAGACATCCATGGAGTCAAAACTGCTTTTGTGTTTACAATAATTTCTTTTTTTCAAGAAACGCTGTTTCATATTGTTTCAACATTGACTTTGAAATAAAGATCATATGAGTTGTTAGCATCGTTTGATAGCAATAACAGATTCCAAATAACTTTCTTTCTTGAAGGTTTTAAATCTTTTTTCGGAGTTTTCATATATATGTCGCATAAATATAAAAGTTTCAGAAGGAATATTGTTACTTTTATGTTATTAGTAACTAAAAACGTTTAGAAATGATTGAGATTGCTTCTGCAATAAAGATATTAAAGCTTAAATTACCCTACAAGCAGAACTGGTTTTGGCAAAACCTACTATATTTGGGGCAAAATTTCAATTAAACGTTTTTTGGTAAAGTGAAATCACATGAAGCCGCAGCAACACTGAGTCTTTTCTAAATTTTTTTTATTTGTTTTTGAAATTTTTAGCAGAATTCATCACCTAAAACATTGACTCTTTTTACCCACGTGAGAGCCGTTCAAAAGTGCTGACTTTATGTGGTATCGGAAACAAACGGTAACGTATACGGTAACAGCATGCTTAATCGTTTACGTTCTTAATGAACTTATGTCTTGTCTTTGATCCCTGTCAGTATTTAATTTCAGAAAATAGACTCCTTATAGCTTTTAGAGAATCTTAAATAGTGTCCTGAAAAAAAATATATATATTTTTTTTCAATCTCTCCTGCTCTCAGATTTTATTATCTCACTTTAAGACCAACATGAACTATTTGCTAACAAATTTTATCAGTTTCATCTTTTAATTTCACTATTCATAAAAGATGTGAAAACAAACAGGTTGATTTATTGATTGACATTAGCATCATTGCGGCTTCTTTATCCATAGTTATTTCTAATAAAGACATTTTAAAGCGTGCGGTCCGGACTATATACCTGTCATAGTTTTGCAGAAGTCATCATCGGAGCTGTCGTCTTTACTTTCAAAACTATTTAACTACTATTTTCTTAATCTGCTGCTAACACGTAAAAACAAAACTTACCAATAAATGCTTTTTTTCGAACAAATAAAATATTCGGCTTGACTGTTGTGTTTGAAAAGATTATGTTTGTACTAGAAATTAGGTGCCAAGTAGGCCAATTTAAAATTAAAAGATATATATATATATATATATATATATATTTTTAATTTTTTTTTTCTTTTGTCTCCATTTAGATATTGAAGCATTTGGTTTATTTTTCACCTGGCGCTGATACCGATATGTTTAGTTCAAAAACAAATTCAAGCCAGCCAATTTCTAGAAGAGAAATTTCAAACCCTATAGGTGAGTTTAAAAAACAAAATAGACGACTGCATTATTTTGTTTGTTGTTATAAATTATCTGTACATATTGAAATATATATGCCATAGGCATTGAAATTACCATTAGGCAAATTAATATTGAAGTTTAGCTTTTAGATAAACGAATTTAGTAACATATAAATTTTCGTTGCATAAATTATGGCTGCGTTTTTTAAATTGTCTAGTTGAAAGAATATCATATCATACAATAGTTTATATATATATATATATATATATATATATATATATATATATATATATATATATATATATATATATATATATATATATATATATATATATATATATATATATATATATATATATATATATATATATAATTGTTTGAGAAAATACATCTATATTCATACCCAGGATTTCAGTGTCAAAATAGTTTCTTGAAATTCTCTTTTAGCACATTTATTGAAACTTTATTGGTTTTGTTGACATTTTTCTAATCAATATTACCATTGTAAACTTTGCAATGTTAAAATTGATTAGAATAATACCTTTTAATTTAACTAAGAGACTGTTTGCTCAAGTTGTTTTGTTTAAAAAGAATAAGTTCCTACATCTATTTTGGTGCCCAGTTGCCTTTTGTTAATTAAACAAAAAGTATATTTTTTAAAAAGTATATTTCTCAAAATTTTACTTTTTTGTTTTAATATAATTTAGGTATTGAGACATTGAGCGGTTTATCAACAGGCATTGAAACCGATTTGTTCAGTTCGGAAACAGAGTTAGGCAAGCTAATCTTTAAAAGAGAAATTGCAAACCGAAAGGGTGAGTTTTTGAAATTTAATTTTAACACTGCATAGTTATGGTCGTTGTTAATACTTCTCGTACTTTTACAAAAAAATTACTTTGTTATAGTTAAGAAAAATACTGAAATAATCCTTTTATTTTGTTAATTTAATAAAAACAGAATTTGTAATAAATAGACTCTTTGTTTCTAATTTTTTTTCTAAATTAAAGTTCATGAACGAAATGCGAATAGCTATGGATTGTTTAAAAAAATAGATAACTACAAAAGAAAAATTCTACCGTGACCAATCAAATTAGAAAAATGGGTAAGAATCTTTCTCTATTGCAAGATTTATATTTTTTTTAATTAATTTTGAATTGAACAGGTCATTTCAAAAGCACCAAAAGCCAATTTTCAAAAAAATAAGTTAAGCACGGAATCGTGTTAGCAAAGGTTAGATAAAAGTTTCTTTAAAAAATTACATTTGCCATGATTTTTATAAACCTTAGAATGCGAGCTTGAAAACAGTTAATTGAAAAATCACCTTAAGTCACTGACGTATGGTGTTTCTCCATGGAAAAGCTAACGCAGCCCAATCATAAATTATCGCGAACAGAAGTTATAACGATTATACAACTTATTTCCTTTCAAATAATTGTTTGCAATATTTGTTTTTGATTATCTTTAACAATTGCAACACAAACAATTACTTTCGGACAATCAGTTGTAAGATAAATTTTAGAAAACCATTAATGATTGCATAGCAATAATTATTTTGGAAAGTATTCCTTTAGAGGTCAATTCAGTACAAAAATTCATCACTTGAATGGAATAAAAACCGCACCCCTATGTTTAATATACATTAAATTTACTAATATTTAATATAATTAAATTAAAAATATATTACTATTAATACATAGTTGAATAGTTACAGTGAATCAAGTTGATTCACTTCATTCATAAGTTTTTCAGATTTTAATTGATTTAACAATGTAGTCAGATAACAGCACCTAAATAAAAAGGAAAATAGGAGTTGTAAATAAGTTTATCGACAAATGTAAAATAATAAAGGACGATCGCGTCGATAAAAGCGCCTACACTAACTTGGCTGGGAATGATATACCTGAATGAAAACCTGCAGAAGATTGCAAGGAAGTTAATTTTTGTTTTTGTTTTAACTGAAGTAAATTAACCCTTTTTCCGTGTCTTTTAGTTTCTTGGAGTACGCCTTACTAACTTATTTTCGTTTGCTTTTTCAAGGTGCAGAGTCAAGTCATTGGAGAAGATTAACAACTTAGGGTAGTCAAAACGTCTATTAGTCTCATAACTGAAAGCAAACAAGATTGTTATCTGCAGTTGTTGATGTGCACTGCTGATGTTAAGCAAAGGAGAAGGCATAAGTTCTTGAATGAGTCTTCAAAACCAGAACAAGATGTAACATTTTTTTATAATTTATTAACACCATTTGGAAAATACCAGGTATGCAAATAGTCTTTTTGCCAAATGTCTGGGCAACCTTTTGATGACTGGACAACTCCCTCATGATAAACGCAAGCGAATCAATTCAGGAAATGCTTAACCTGAAATTGTCGTAAACATGGTGAAAGAAAACTTTTCTGTTTATGCAACAAAAAACTTAATATGGTAATACTGAAAAACATTTTCCTCATACTAAATTTTCTGTTTATGACATGCACAAGGCGACTCAGGAATCAACAAAAATTACATAGTTTGAAAATATTTTAGAAGTAATTCTCGTTGAGGTTTGGAATACCTTAATTTGACCCATTCTGTTCATGTAATGTACAGCATCAGTCAGCTTGAGATCGTTAAAAAAAAAATTAAAAGTAAGTGTTTAGGCGACAATTCTGCAGCTCTTGAAAAATGGGTTCATGTTCCCAGACCTAAATTTTTTATAGAAAAATTATTGAAATTGCACTAAAATGTCAAAATGTTGATAAAATAGGTGGGATTTGTGTAGATTATATTCAAAATTTTCAACATCTTTGCATATCATTTCATAAGACCTATTACTTTAGACAGTCTGCATGCACATTTAAAAAAAAAAAAGAGTCAAATTTTTTTGTATCATGAAGGGGTTGGTGCAACGAGTAATGATGAAGTTTGCTCTTATGTTTTAAAATATACAGAAACTTCAAGTAATGATGTAAAAATTTGCAGGAGTTTTCTGACGGGTACGGGGCCAAAACAAAAACCAAAATCTTTTTAGGCTATCTTAGAGATACTTTGTTTAAAGATACTACAAAGTTCGGAACGTTTATCAATGTTTTCTTGTTAGAGGTCACTCTAACAAGAAAACATTGATATTTTTCCTTGTGATCGGGACTTTTCTATATAATGATCTGATTCTGTCATCCTTAAAATAAAAATGCAATTTATATTATCATCAAAAACAAAAAACTGATATCGCTAGTTTTAAGAACTAATTGCCTCGAATAATAAAAAAACAATATCGCCCGTTAAAACAGCTGGCTGCAATGTGCCTATGAACAAAAAGGTCATATTCAAAATCAGCACCATTATGCATATGAACCAAAAAATTTAAAGGGAAAGTAATTTGCAGAAAATTTATTGATGAACTTCAGCACTTCAACATTTTTCTTTGAGAAATTCTAATCTTTCAATGCTGCCTCTTTCTTCAGCCCAAACTTATCCGGATGGAGTGATTCCAATAAACGCTAAGTAGATTGCTGACATATGTAAACTTATGCCGTACATTCCAGATGATGAAGATATTAAAGAGTTTTATGATCAGATTTTGACTTGGCCCATTGTAGACTAAGCTGATTCATAGTTTGAGCCACTGTAGTTTAAACATTCTCTTACAAGTTTTCAGCACAAAATGAACACTACTTTATCTGTAAAAGGTTTTTTTCATGGTACCAAATAATATATTAAAATAAATATGAGTTTTTAAAACTAAATTGTTGATTTTTGTCTTTATTTCTACGTAATCCATATACCTAAAAACTATTTTTTTTTTCTTGGTTTTTATGTCTGTTAATTTCAAAAAGCAACATAAGTCATTCAAATAAAAAAAATCCTAAAGAGATGTAAAGTAAATTTTATTTCAAAATTTTGATACAACTTTTAGTTAGCATTAAGAATATTTCGTAATTTTTGAAGTCATTTAACAACTTTTTATGACCCGTTCAATTAAATTTTATATTTTCGTTTAACTTGATTTTCTTATTATTTTTTTTTCGTAGCATTATTGTAGCATAATTTTATTGTTTTCTAGGTTTAAATGATTGGACAATCGAAGGATTTATTACCTTATATTAAATTTATTTCATTACATTAGATTTATCACTTTATATTAAAATTTATTTAATTATGATACTTAAATTCAAAATTTTCAATTTTTAAATTTGCATTGAAAAATATATAAGACTTTGTTTAAAACTTTTATTTTTGTTTTAATATTTCTATTTCTTTTTGTGTATTTTTTATTGTTCAAATTTAAACAAAAAAAAGTCTATTATTTTTTGTGTGTGTGTTTCTTGTTTTGTCAACACAAACATGAAAATGCAAGATATTTGGTTTGATTCTACAAATGAATATAAATGATAAGTGATTTTGCATCCCATCTCTGATATAGTGCATAGCCGAAAATTGAATGAACCTAGAATATCTATAGCTAACTTAATTAGTGGGTCTAATCTACCATACCCATTCAACCCGATAACTACATTTTCAGAAACCATGGCCAACAATAATTAAAGAGCCAGTAGACTACATATAACTTTTTTTGCACGATCTTAATCATTAATCGGTAAGTTAGGTAAGCACTTCCCAAACTCTATGAGATATGAAATCATACGATATATTGTCTACTCGGCTAGGTATTGAATTTTACGGCAAAATAACAGAAAGTCATTATAAAAAAATATTATTGGATTTTTCAGAAAAAAACCTAGGTTAATCAAACAAATTATAAGAAAAAAAAATTTATATATATATATCTTTTAAGCAAATTTACACAAAAAGTAACAGTATAAAAAGTATTTAATGAAGAATAAATCTGTTCAATAAAAGTTACTTAAAAATGTAAATATTAAAAAAATGATAGATATTAAAATACTATATATATCTTTTAACATTTCTTATAAACACATTCTTTCAACAATTTTTGTAACACTTTTTATGACAACACTAATTACAAACTGATTTAATTTTTGTATTTTATCATAGCAGTACACCACTTATCTGACAAGGACAACAATATTGCTCCCAACAAAGCATAGTCACATTAAAGCAAACTACACCACTTAACTAGCAAAATTATCACTCTTGCTGTAAATTAAACCAAGCCACAACAATTTGAAAAGATAATTACAAACACATAAATAATATTTATACACTTACAAAATATAAACCCATTTAACTTTAACACATAAACATAAATAAAACAAATAACATATAAATATAAATTAATAACATAATAAAAATATATAAATCAAGAAAAATAATTTTTTTAGAAACAAATACAACCTTGTTTTTGTAATATTTGTTTAAAGAGATACCTCGTATAATAAATGTTTAACAATTTGGTAAAACAGACGATTTGGTTTTTATATAAAAGCAAACAGATTTTTTTTGTAACGTCTTTAAGGGTTAGGTATTTACCGTTGTTCTTTCTTGTATTTTGACATGTAACTGTGTGAGATGCAAGAGTTTAGGAGATATATCTTCGTCTTTTAATTTAAGAATTAAAATATGTCTCTCTTATTACTATATAGGTTGATGAACAAAATTTTCCATCTTATTACTGATTAAGCAGATATGATCTATTGATAAGACTTGAATCGATGAATGTTAAAAGGGCGGAAGTCACATATTTTGCAAAATTGACTTTTTTGCTTATTTGTATATTATATTTGTATAGCTCCATCATTTTGTGTAAAAAAGGTGTAAGTCAAAAGTTTTTCTCTAGCCTGTACAGTGTCTAAAAGTTTTGGTTTTTTGTTAAAAGGGCTGAAGTCCGCACTTCAGCCCTTTTAACAAAAAACAAGAAACTTTGCGCTAAAGACAGCGGACCAAACGTAAACTTATTTTGTCGTTTTGATTGTGCAACAGCGTGATGAATAAAGTTGATTTATTACGTTTGATCATTTTAATAATGATATAAATTATTAACTGCTTTTTTAAATGTGTTAGATCTCTCCGATGGAAAGCTCTAATATTCTCGCCAACCCGTTTTATGTCTTTATTATTCTGATTTATACTAAAAGGAAAGCATGGCGTGTTCCGCCATTTTTGATAATATAAACAACTATTCAGTCTAGATAATCAAAGCAATCACAGGGAACCAACATATGGTGCCGAAACTTTTATTTATATCTTAATTGGAAGTTCATAATAAAATAACTATTTTGATAAATTAAAACATGGATATGCAACTAAAATCGATGAAAAAATCAAGAAGGATGCATAAAATGTATGCATCAAAAATTATAGAAGAAACGAATATCTTATTAGATAAGGAACTTGAGTCTAGCGAAAATCGTGAAGATGTGGAAACTGACTTAAATACGAACTTGGAGCTGTTGAACATAAAAATGAAAGTTATAGAAAATCTTAACGATAAAATAAGTGAGTTGTTGGAAGATGATGATGAGATTTGCACGGATATGAACGAATCTGGAGACTTTCAAAGGTACATTTTAAAAACCACTATACGCATCGAAAAGTATCTTAAACAAAATCTTAATGAATCTTCATTCCATATTGAGAAACCAGCTTCCAAACCTAAATATTCAATCTCTGCCAAACTGCCCAAGCTGACACTTCCCAAGTATAGTGGCGATCCAATGACCTTTCAATCATTTTAGGACAGTTTTGATAGTGCTATCCATTCAAACCAAGTATTAAATGACATTTCTAAATTCAATTACCTCAAAAGTCTCTTAGAAGGAAATGCGAGTCTTTCAATCCAAGGTTTAGCCATAACAGGTGAAAATTATAGAACTGCAATTAAAATTTTTAAAGAAAGATTTGGAGACGAACAAGTGATAATAAGCGCTCACATGGATGCTCTTCTCAACATTCAACCTACTCAAAGTAATAAAGTCTCTGAAATCCGAACAATCTTCGACTTAATCGAAATTCATACTAAAAACTTAGAACTCTTAAATGTTAACTCAAAGGATTTTGGTCCAGTACTTGTATCAGTAATAATGAGTAAAATGCCTAAAGACTTTAAACTCGACATTACACGAAAGATGCCTCAAGGAAAGTGGAAAATAATAGACCTTATGAACTGCTTCAGAGAGGAACTTATAGCTCGTGAGCGTTGTATATCTATGGAAAAAGGAATGAGTAACTTAGACATAAATCAAGATCATTTTCCAAAAAACATATCAACATTGCACTCTCAACAAAAACATGTAAAACCAAGAGAGTGGCAACCCAAATCAGTTAAGCTCATTTCTTGTTCATTTTGTAAAGGTAAACACCCAAGTAATCGGTGTAATGTTGTTACAGATGTTGTTGCAAGAAAACGTATTATTCAAACCAAAAATAAATGCTATAACTGTTTAAAATCAGGACATTCTGTAAAAAATTGTTATTCGAAAAATATTTGTTTTCAGTGTAATGGTAAGCATCATATTTCAATTTGTAATAAAAAAAAAAAATGCTGGAGCTTATGTAAACTTAAATTCAGATAAAACCATACCAGACACCTCAGTCAATGTTGTTGGTTGTCAAGATAATATTCTCCTACAAACTGCAAAAACTGAAATATCAGACACAAACAACTCAATAAAGAAAACTAAAAATATTGCAAGAGTGTTATTTGATAATTGCTCTCAAAAGTCCTTTGTGACATCTGATGTAAGAAAGAAGTTGAATCTCAAAACTATTCGAAACGAAATTCTAAATGTAAAAGTGTTTGGAGAAGGCTGTGAAAAGCCTCGAAAATTTGACCTTGTCAGTATTAAAATTAAAAACATCCAAACCAATCATTATTCTACAATCGAAGCATATGTTACACCAATCATATGCTCTCCTATTATCAATCAACGAATCGACCTTGCAAAATTGCAGCACACAGAATTAGCCAATATACCGATAGCTGATGATTTAAAAGATGGAAAAGAAATTGACATATTAATAGGTGCAAAATACTACTGGAACTTTGTAACAGGACAATTAATTAGAGCAAACCAATCACTAACCGCAGTAAACACAATTCTTGGATGGACTCTTAATGGAAATGTTAAATCAATTAATTCTGCTTCTGTAAATATAGCATCTGTTCTTCAAACATCTTCTGAACTAATCTTAGTTAATTCTGACGATCTTGGCAGTCTTGGTATATTCTGGGAATTAGAAGATATTAATGAAATAAACACAACCTTTGACTTAAAAAATTTCTATGACAAAATCCAGTTTAATGGTAAAAGATATTCCGTACCTCTACCTTGGAAACAAGAACGCAAACAGATTCCAGATAATTATGAGAAAAGCAAACTCAGATTGCTATCCACTTACAATCGTCTCAAGAAAAATCCAAACTTATTGCAACAGTACAATGAGATTATACGTCAGCAGGAACATGAAGGAATTATAGAAAGAATCCCCGATTTTCCACCACTCGTAGGACAAGTCCATTATCTTTCGCATCACGCAGTAATCAAAGAGGAAAAGTCTATCACAAAATTACGAATTGTCTTTGATGCATCGTCAAATAGTCCTTCGTTAAACGATTTGTCTGATACGAAATACGAAAGACCTGTACGAATAGCATCAAGAAACGGAATACTAATAAGACGCTTAATGGGACAATTTTAATTTTGTATCTAATTTGTTTTATAGTTTGTTGAACGTTTTGTTCAAGGGAGGAGTGTGTTAGATCTCTCCGATGGAGAGCTCTAATATTCTCGCCAACCCGTTTTATGTCTTTATTATTCTGATTTATACTAAAAGGAAAGCATGGCGTGTTCCGCCATTTTTGATTATATAAACAACTATTCAGTCTAGATAATCAAAGCAATCACAGGGAACCAACAAAATGGATGATAGTGTTAGTGAGTCTGATCATACAAATTATAAAAAAAAGATAAGAAACCAGTAATTGAGTTGACAGTACATAACAGACGCACAAAAAAATTTACCAAGTCATAAAACAAGATGAGCAGGACGCTAGGGAAGAAAAAAATGTAAATGTTTTGTCCCGAGCAGTAGATATAATGCGAAACATATCACTGCCCAAAACACATGTGCAAGAGTTAATTTACCTAAGGCAGTTAACGGTTAGTGTATTTTCTATTCAAGATAGAAAGGCTAGAAAGTCTCTGAATGAAACTTGCTCCTTTCTATTGCACTAACTGTCTACCTTACGTATGATGAACTTAACTTTTATGCCAATATTTGTGGGATGCAAAATAAAAACCATTTCTTTTTAAAACTTTTTATAGCGCCTACTGATAATAAAAGGATTAAAAAGATCAATTAATTTTTTCCAATCAGAGGACATATATATATATATATATATATATATATATATATATATATATATATATATATATATATATATATATATATATATATATTATATATATATATATATATATATATATATATATATATATATATATATATATATATATATATATATATATATATATATATATATATATATGCGGACGCAGGTTTTTAATTTACCCCGTCAAAAAAATGCGCCTTACGCCATGTTGTAAGTGACGCAACTACGCCCACAAAGCAAATAGAAAAAATCAGGGGGAGGGGGAATAAGTAAGACTATGTAGTAAAGGGGGGTGGGTGGGCAAATTTTCTTTTCAATCGATCCAAATGATTAAAGGAGGGGGGGGGGGGATTTACAGGTTTAACGATTTTTAAGCAGGCAAGCCCAAAAAAAAAAGAATTTAGACTACACAATTTTATGCCACTTTTAAACAGCCTACCAAATTTACTTACGTTTTTACAAAATATTCTTATATAAAAAGCATCTAAGGGAGGTCATCGTTCCCATAGCCTGCCCCCTATGTATCCCCTAAATCCTCCTGCCCTTGGGCTGGAGGATTTAAAGGGATTTTCTTTTTGCTATTTCATTGAGAAGCTTATATCTTAGTTTTACTTTGAAACTTTTTTTTCTATATAAATATATAATAAATATATAAACCAACAAATGATTGTTTCGCCCAACATCAGTGCTCATCAGCATGTCTAGGAACATATTTATTCCGGACATGGACAATCAGAGAAAGAAAAATTAATAACTGAAAAGAGAAAGACAAAAATA